GTAATCATCAAAATTGTGAAACTTTTTTGAAACAGAGATTTATTTGCATCACAAGAGATGCACTGAAAATGTGTCTCAATTTTCTGACATAAATACGGCAAAAAAATTCATGACTTTTAGGATTTTAAAACTTTTTAAATATCTTACGCTATTATCCCCTGTAATGCGATTATATATATGGGAGGGGAACGGGAGCTCGGGAGATGAGTGAGGAAATTATATCTATTTTATAAATGACTTAATAGACCGATAGGTAAATGCTTGTCTCATTAAATATGACATTGTATGAAAGTATCCTTGGCTCTTATCCCATGGTTTTTATAACAAAAAGTTTTATTTCTAATTTCATGTCTCATTAAAATCGCATAAAATCTAAATAAATTGTCTAAAATCTCTCCACCAATACATAAACACTTATAACTGATAATTAATTTTTCATTATTATTGTTATTATACCCGAGAGATGTGTCTAAATATTTCTTAATATATAATATATCGAGGAATACAAGATATGCTAAAATCACTTCATATTACGATATATTTTAATGCTATTAAATACATACACATAGAGTGTGTGAGAAATTTAGGTCAAAGTTGTCTCCAAATACTTATGACTTAATGAGAGAGAGAGAGAGAGAGAGAGAGAGAGAGAGAGAGATTAGAAAGTAATTTACCTGTACTTTCAAGTTGTCATTCAAGTTATACTACATATTATATAAGTGATTTGGTTGAGGGAATTTATGAGATTTTTTAGGTCTAATCTGAGGGGTTGGCTATCAAAACACAGACATTTTTAATGTCGTTTTCCTTTGAGAGAGAGAGAGAGAGAGAGAGAGAGAGATTAGAAAGTAATTTACCTGTACTTTCAAGTTGTCATTCAAGTTATACTACATATTATATAAGTGATTTCCAGTGGAGGGGGTAGGGGGTGTATAGGAGGTATAATATTTTAATTCATTTAATACTAAAATTATAAAACAATAGCTATAATAAAAATATAATTTTAAAAAATTCTTTATTCTGTAAATATTCTGGTATAAAAAAGTTATGTGATAGCTTAATCAGCATTGAAAATAGTTACGATATCCCTGTCATTTGACATACCATTACCTGTGCTCACTGTATGTTTTAAAATCAGCAGCACTGGTATGTTTTAAAAAATCACAACTTAATCTCTTTTCGTACTTTTATATATCATTAATGATTGATAAGTTAAACGCAACGGTAATCTGAGTTTTAATTATCATTTCGTAGTCTCTCTCTCTCTCTCTCTCTCTCTCAAAGGAAAACGACATTAAAAATGTCTGTGTTTTGATAGCCAACCCCTCAGATTAGACCTAAAAAATCTCATAAATTCCCTCAACCTGTCAAACGCTATTAAATCTCAAATCAAAACATTTCAAACAACTTTCAAATGACTTTCAAAACATATTTGAACAAAACGATTAATACAGTATAGTTGCAAAACTAATTGATTAGTATTTGGAAAAATATTTTCCCATATAATATCCACATTGAAAATGAATTATTTAGCATGTTTAAACTTATGGTTAGTCTAATGGACAGGTAGTAAAAGTGTGTGTGGACTCACTAGTGGATGAAATGGTCGAGAAGTACAGCCCGTACTGGAAAACTCGGTCCCAAATGAGAAACACGAGAAACATTGTCGAGAAATATAGTAAATACAGCGCGTAATCAAATATGAAGTTTGACAGCCAGTACAGTCTAATACTGAGCCCAGTCATGAGTTGTAGTAGTTTAGCCTGGTAATTTAAAAAGTAGTGTAATTTTAAATTTTAATACAGTATTTAATTACAAATAAATTGATTATTATTTTCCATACCTTTGACACTCTTTCATGAGTCGGGAATAACACATAGAATGCGGCGATAAATGAGACCGAAAAGGGTATAAAAATGCCTAAAAATAGCACAAAAAATAATAAATAAATAACATTACAAAACAAATTGCAAATTGCATATAAAATACAAAATTCCTATACATATAGGCTTTACTAATCAACAGAATAATCTCAAAAAACAATTACATAATATTCAAAAACTGACAAAACAATATAACCTATACTAGTAATCATTACACAGAATAATACAGAATATTCTTTGAAACAAAACAAAACAATACATACTATTATAGACGCGACCAAAAAACGGCAAAAACGCTGAGTGGGGGTTAAAATGTTCAAACGTTTGCTGGTGTAGACTAATACCCACGTCCTCTGGTCTCACCAGGCTACTATTAGACTCAGCCACCAACTTCTTAAGCAATGCATTATACAGAATATTCACACTAATAGGCAACGAGTGGTGGGCCTCCCCGTTATACCAGGCTATGTACACATTGCGATTCCTGTACTTCTCGAGGGAGGCGCCCACTAACCACCGCTCCCTATATATGTTGAGGTCTTTGATCGAGTCGTTCAGTAGTTTCTCCGTGGGATCCACTTTGAACTCCTGGGCCCTCACGGACTCCCGGAGCGCCTCCGGCATGTAGTACTGGCCATAAGACTCGGGCAACTGTTCCAACTGGTAGTAGAAGCCGAATAGCTCGGGCGCATAGCCGGCCGCCCGGGTATTCATGTCCAGCTCCCAGTTGGGCGTCTTGTTGGTCGAGTTGACAGTGGTTTCGATGAGCCCTAAGACGGCGAACACGCAGCCGATGGCTATACTCATGATGGGGACGACCGTACGAGTGGACCGTTTCATGTCGTGTATGCGTTTGGCGATCAGCGCTTTGAGCTTAAGTAGGGTGAGCTCGCGGGGCGACTGGACCTTCTGGGACTGGACTTCAGTGAACTTTTTGAACTCATTGTTGTTGTTATAGCCGTTGTTGTTGTTTAAATGAATGCCGTTTTCCAGTTGTATGGACTTTCGGGGCTGAACCGGCTTTTTGTTGTTCTCGGTGTCGATCACCTGGATGTTTGTTATGGCATTTTAGTTTGATTATAATAATTAGTTTTTTATATGGGTTACTTTTTATAGTTTACTAATTTTGTAACTCATAGGCGTAAGTTATTTTAAAATTAAATTTCTAATAAGTTTTAAATATATTTTTGTTTAATATGTTTCTAAATTAACTATATTAAGTTGACCCTAATAATCTTAATTTATAGAATTATGTTGGAATTCATTGTATAATTATTACTGTATTAAAACTCAAACTACTATTCCCTACTAAACTACTACTAAATACAAAAAACTGTAAAACAGATCAAAAATAATTTATAAAAGTATCGATTTGTTAAAAGTAACACTGAATGGGCAGATGAATGCAGATTAACAAATTTTTTGAGTGGACAGGTAGTATCCAGACACATTAATAAATATTATTTTTAATTATGTACCAGTATATGCATTAAGAATTTATTGTATAAACTAGTAACTACAGTATTACTGTATAAAAACTCAAACTAAACTATTCACTACTAAACTACTACAGTATTACTATAATAAATACACTACTCATACACACACACAAAAAACTGTAAAACACATCAAAAATAATTTATATAACTATCGACTTGTTAAAGGTAACACTAAATGGGTACTACACGATGCTCCAACAAATTTTTTTTGAGTGGACAGGTAGTATAATACACCGAAACACTCACCTTCAGAAACACATCATCCATGGACGACACATTGACACCACACGAAAACACGCCTAAACTCTGCTTATTCTTATCCAACTCATCGAAAAAGGCCGGTAGGGCTCGGGTGTCATCGGAAT